TTTTAATAGATCGTGCATGAAAGGACAGAAATATTATATGCTTATTTAGAATACGACGTCTGTTGATTAATTAGAAAAATCAAAAGTGAAGACAAAGTTAAAAATTTTTGGTCGAATCTCTGTGCCAAGGATATTATAAATTAGTAGCTATGAAAGAAAGCCTAAGTTTAAGACAAGCTCAAATTGGATCTACTCCTGGTGAAATGAGGTCTCAATCGCCGAAAAAGTACCACTCAAGGGAAAAAGATTGTGTGAGAAATGTGTATCAGAAAATATAAACCTAAATATGATAGAATTATTATACATGTAGACACAACTAATTCACGTAACCCGTTCAACCTAATATATGGAAGGTATGTATTAGACACATTTAAGACTCATTTCATACAAATATGACACATTTAATTAACAATGATTATTGATCAATTTATATTTTCTCTTAAAATAAATAAGTAAAGTTAATCACTAATTTAAAAACTAATACTATTTTAATTTGTATTTCATATATCATATAAACTTCTATATTATCATTTATATCTAAATTGTAAATAACACATAATTGATCATGTCAATTCATGTCAATTTAGATTAAAAAAGCCAGCCCAATCAGGAGTGACACTTTTACTAGTTGTGTCAACAATTTATAACCTAAATCCACAGACTTTGTGTAGGTTTTGATTCGTGTTTTCTTGTCAATCATGATGAACTCAAATTGTTATCATATAAAGAGCGCTCTCCATGATTGAATAATACTGTTAGTACTTGAGAAATTAAGTTAAGTTTGTACATATATATTTACCGAACTATATATATATTAGACATGAAAACGAATATGATTGATCAAATTAAGAAAGGAAGAATATATGCTCCTACAAGTATATGTATAACGCGCACGTTCCTAAAGCAGATAATTGCAATTTAATCCAGCTTTAGCAGCAAAAGGTTGGTCTTATATAGCTAGGCCGTCCAAAAAGTAGATGTTAAAGTTTATACATTCTACATTATTCTTCAATCAATTATACATACATACATAAAGTTGATGTTATATATATATATATATATATATATATATAACATCAACTTTATGTATGTATGTATAATTGATTGAAGAATAATGTAGAATGTATAAACTTTAACATCTACTTTTTGGACGGCCTAGCTATATAAGACCAACCTTTTGCTGCTAAAGCTGGATTAAATTGCAATTATCTGCTTTAGGAACGTGCGCGTTATACATATACTTGTAGGAGCATATATTCTTCCTTTCTTAATTTGATCAATCATATTCGTTTTCATGTCTAATATATATATAGTTCGGTAAATATATATGTACAAACTTAACTTAATTTCTCAAGTACTAACAGTATTATTCAATCATGGAGAGCGCTCTTTATATGATAACAATTTGAGTTCATCATGATTGACAAGAAAACACGAATCAAAACCTACACAAAGTCTGTGGATTTAGGTTATAAATTGTTGACACAACTAGTAAAAGTGTCACTCCTGATTGGGCTGGCTTTTTTAATCTAAATTGACATGAATTGACATGATCAATTATGTGTTATTTACAATTTAGATATAAATGATAATATAGAAGTTTATATGATATATGAAATACAAATTAAAATAGTATTAGTTTTTAAATTAGTGATTAACTTTACTTATTTATTTTAAGAGAAAATATAAATTGATCAATAATCATTGTTAATTAAATGTGTCATATTTGTATGAAATGAGTCTTAAATGTGTCTAATACATACCTTCCATATATTAGGTTGAACGGGTTACGTGAATTAGTTGTGTCTACATGTATAATAATTCTATCATATTTAGGTTTATATTTTCTGATACACATTTCTCACACAATCTTTTTCCCTTGAGTGGTACTTTTTCGGCGATTGAGACCTCATTTCACCAGGAGTAGATCCAATTTGAGCTTGTCTTAAACTTAGGCTTTCTTTCATAGCTACTAATTTATAATATCCTTGGCACAGAGATTCGACCAAAAATTTTTAACTTTGTCTTCACTTTTGATTTTTCTAATTAATCAACAGACGTCGTATTCTAAATAAGCATATAATATTTCTGTCCTTTCATGCACGATCTATTAAAAATTAATATTTTGAAATATAATCGTGCATGGATCCGATATACACAAAATGCATGTACGTAATCTGGAAGATATATATTACCAACAAGCAACAATTATATGCTTTTTTTTTTTTTGTCTAATTCCAAGGCAATCAGAATCCATAGTATTATTTTTTTATTAATTATATTTGAATTTGAAACATGTAGACAACAAAAATATGAAAGATTCATGCATCTCATGATGTACCATAAATTACCTGTTTATAATATAATTTTCAATATCTCCTCTCTCATACATGATCTTTGGTGTCAGCAGTTAAAAACTTAAAAGTAACATGCTCGTAGAAAATGTGTTCAATTATTGACACAATATCAAATGAAATCATACAATTTGTATTAATATATACAACAACATATAAATTTGCGGGAACCAAAATAAACGTGGCATTAGTTTAATCCTTTCAATAATAAATAATGACATAATAATTCAATTTTGGCCTTTTCTTTTACTCTTAAGGTAAAAGTAAATGAATAAATAAATAGAACATGAGTACTTTGTTAGCTTAATTGCCGTCTTTCTAGTAGTTTTTCTGCTTTTTCCCAATATCATATCCTTGATGGTGACGCTTCCAGAACATATGTTTCCAACACTTTTGGAAGCATGAAAAAGTAGATGTCCCTCTTTTTATCTCATGCTTGCCTTGAGCTAGCTACCACCTTTGAACCTTTTTCCACACTCCCACTTCCGATCCCTTCATTCCCAAGCCTCTCTCTCAATCTCACTCATGAAACACACAACAAATATATATACATATATATACATACATACATATATATATATATATATTCCTTGCAAAGTAGTCATCTTTGAATTATTCCGTCAAAATCAAGATACGAATATATAATTATACATGAGTAGCTTATACTTTAAGCTCTCTTCCAATTGAAGCTATATATGGCTTCAAGTAGTAGTATTCCTTGTGATTATTAATAATGATATTCCATAGTGATAGAAGAGTGTTTTTTCTTGGTTTTTCTATTGTGTATAAACCACCTTTTGTGATAACTTTAGGACACGTAAAATTGAAGCCAACCACTAAAATAACCCATTAAAATATATGTTTGCCAAGCTGTATGTAGTGTGGCCCTTTCGATCTATTTTGGCCAAGACTGATCCAGAGACAATTTTGTTTATAATATAATATATATGCTCTTTGTCTTGTAGTCATTAGTTCTCTAGACGTAAATTATGATACACACATCATATATATGCATATATATATACATATATATATATATATAAGGCACATGAGTATGGCTTTTAAATGATCTATGGCCCATGAAGTTATGGCATCTACATCGTGCTTGTAATTTTTTACCCACCTTCAATATTTAGGGTGGGGAATAGCGGAAGTGTAAAGTTTCAAAAAACCTTCTTTTAATATTGAGCTCGATCTAGCTACTAGCTAGATTCTCTTGTTGTCTTATTTGTGTTAAAAATTTTATTTTCTTTTCCTTTTCTTTGTTATCATGAATTATTACAATAAGAAGGTATTGTAATTATTTATAATGTTGTTATTAATTAGCATTTGTAAGAAAGCGTCTTTGACATCTTTTTATCATAGATGATATATGGTAATAGTATTTGGAAAGCTTATTTCTCCATTGAGAGTTTTTCCTTCTTTTTTTTTTAACGAAACTCGATTGGGATAAGTGAACTCTAGCTAATATTCTATGTAATAAGAAAGAAAGAGAAAATCCTCAAAAAAAAAAAAAAGAGACATATATATAACAGAGCGATTGTCCTAAGAAGATACATTTATCATTAAGTTAGAGCAATAATACGTGATAATGAAGGTAGAAAAGAATCCAATATTAAGCAGAAGAATAGATTTATAATAATTACCTCATGTAAATTTAATTTATGCTAATGAAGTACTAAATATATTGGAACATCATGTTGGATGGTTTATAATACAGTCTTCATCTTACCATAGTTTTAATTTCTAGTTTTTCATCTTAATATTTGGAAACAGACAAAATTGAGTTGTCAAAATAGACAAATCAATTTTTTTTTTTCAAAAAAAAAAAATTATTTAATAAATATCCTTTGTCAAAATAGACAAAACGCTATCACATTGAATAGAGGCTGTTTATGACATACCACATTGCATCAATTTTGGGATCATCAAAGAGTACAACCTCTCTCTCTCTCTCTCTCTCTCTCTCTCTCTCTCTCTCTCTCTCTCTCTCTCTCTCTCTCTCAAAGAAATGAAAAGAAAGGAAAATTAAGGATTATCCATCCCAAAGCCGTGTTGATCACTCAAAAGTAAAAAATTGTCAAATACAAGACATATCAACCATCTAAACCCACCAACCAACAAAAATTAAAGAAAAAGCATAGACTATATAGAATTAACCCATCAAATTTTCCACCTCATGAATCATGATCATGATGGTCTTTCCTTTGAAAAATAACACGGAATTCATCAGTATAACAAGCAATAACCAACCCCATATCTACCTCTCATCTTTGAACATAATCCAATTAATTATTATCAAAACCATTAATTCCATTTATACATCTTAAACGATAATGAATATATACAATTGCAACCATAAAAAAAACGGATATAAATACTTGCATATATACAAAAGAAAGAGAACGTTGATTTATATTTAACCTGAAACTAAAACCCAGATCAAGAATCCATACATATAACAAACCATGCAAATACATATAAAGTAAAATTAATAACCAAATTCTTGCATATATACTTTCATAATTCAGATCCAAATTGTCTGAAAACTTATGAAACATACCCTAACCCAGAATATATATATATATATATATTTATATCGTTCGATATATATTCCGGATTATAATAACAAGTGAAGAAACGATATAAATGTAATACAACTTGATCTATATATCCAAGGAAACTTGAGGTCGTTTCCACCATACAAATCCAAAATATATAAAATTAACCTTTGTGAAAAAGAAAAGAAAAGAATAAACAAAAGAGAATTCGTGTAAAATTACTAGAGAGATCATTAAGGATCATTGATAATTCATTTACATGGGCAGCAGCTCCTCTTGGCCGAGCCGGTGGCGGCTTTCGCAAAACTCGATCTGAAAAACCGGTCGATCTCTTCCCGGTTCACGACATCGAAGAAATCGAGCTCCGACAACTTTCTCTTGCACGAAGGAGCCCTCGCCGTCGCCGGCTTCCTCGGCGCGGGCGGGCACGACAGGATGGCCGGGATTCTGTGCTCGGCGGAAGTCGGCGTGCGGCACTCGTTGTTGATCTCCTCCTTCTCCTCATAAATTATGTCCTCGTTCTTGATATTGTCGCAGCTGTTTCTTCTGTCATTGTCTAATCGCTGAATTATGCTTCTGGCGGCCTCGGTCTTCGATTCGGAGGGCTCCGGGGTCTGAATTTGGATCGGCGAGAGCCTGATCTTGGGCAAGGCCTGGCAGAATTCAAGATCCGTGGACATTGTGACTATTATTTTAAGAAGAAGAGCAAAGAAATATTATTCTTTCTTCAAGATATAAGATATATATATATATTTATAGATTTATAGATATATATGTATGAATGAATTTTTGGGTGGTGTGTGGGGGTATTTATGTGATGTCCAGGAAAATGGCTTCAGAATTAGGGAGTTAAAGGGTTGGAAGGCGTGCGTTGGAAGGTAATTGAGAAGAGAGAGAAAGAGATGAGAGAGAGAGAGAGAGAGAGGTCGTTGATGGGTTCTTTATTCTATCTTCTAGTTAGGAAAATGACTTTGGATGATATCAGTCCCAAATGGCAGAACAATAATTTTTTTTTTTTTTTTTTTTTTTTGCAGTCTTTTTTCCTTTCTTTCTTTGTTTTTACATTTACCCAAACTTTCCATTTCCTAACTGTCTGAGCTGTGACTGAGCTCTGAGATGAGATTTGTGGGCACCTTTCCTTTCCTTTCTTTTCTTTCTTTCTTTTTTATTTATTTATTTTTTATTTATTATTTTTTTTTTGTTTGTTCCTTATAAATCAATAAATTCCACAATAGGGCCACCAAAATTTGGAAAGCAGCTTGTCACCTAGCTGGGATTTTTTGGGGTCAGCTTTGCTATCGCCAACTTTGGCCTATGTTGTTCAGGAAAAAAAAAAAAAAAAAAAAAAGGTCTATTTTAGTAAGATATTTAATTCTCCTATTTGTTTTTCCACCTTGGAAATTTGGAAATTCCACGGAATGGATCGAAGTTTATACAAATCTGGTTCCGACAATGGGTGAAGGTACTAATTATTAAGATGTCACATATATATTGTCTTGTATCATCTTATAATTTCTTTATGGTCCATTTGAAAACAAAATGTAATCTAACATCCTTATAATTAGTACAACATTACTTTTTAACGGTTGAATTTGCCTCCAACCTTTGTAGATCTAAAAAAATCCAACAAATGTTTGATTTTGTAATTGTAAGAATGCACATCTTGCACTAATGGAAATCACCTTGCTCTCTTTTTTTTTTTTCTTTTTTTAATACCAATAACAATAGTAATAGTCCCTCATGACATGTAAATAGTAGTTTTTTTTTAGTAGCATGATCTTGAGGCATTATTTTACCCCTAAATAATATTCTCTTATTTTAGCCAAGCTTGAGGCACTAACTTATTTACCAGCTTCTACTCACCACCTTAATGTGGCCAGTTTTATGACCAAAAAATTTAATAGCATAAAATATAAATGAAGTTTTACCTTACGTGACTGAACATGAATAAAATGTAGTAAATAAAATCATGCCACCTCAAATATTATTAACATATTTAAGATGAATGTATAAAAGTAAGGGTCATTTGATAAGAATTGAAAAAACAAACTACTTGTTCTTTTTTAGTCGTCAGATATATATTAAAAATTATTTATTTTGTATATATTTTTAATTTAATGTGATTTTAATTAGATCTAACTCTCAAAAATAGACTCAACTGATAAGAAATCTCTGCTTGAGAAATATCCTAGAAAAAAAATGGACTAAGGTAAAAAGTGTTGGAAGTTTTTTTTTTTTTTTTTTTTTTTGCTTGAAAAAAGTGTTAGAAGTTAAGGTAGGTTTCCTATTCAATAAAATGGAAGTTATAGTAATCCCTTAAAAAAATGGAATTTAGTGACTAAGGTAGAAAGTGTTGGATGTTAAATCATAAGTAATCTAAAACGCATCTATTTGGTTATTATACTGTAAGTCACGTGTCAGACCTCACAGATGAAGTCATGAAAATAAACAAATAGTGTGCCTCCACGTGTAAAAGACTGGCTGAGTTTTTTTTTATCGAGTGAACTTGAGGTGTCCTTCGTCTGACAGGAATGCTCTCTGACACGCGTCAAAATATAACTGGTTTTATCATTTAAACAAGTCTGCAGAGGATAAAAGTTGGGGGCGCAAAAGAAAGGAATCTATGGCCGTTGGTGTCCTTATGTGTATTGACATGGACAACGTAAAACTTAAGATAGATGCAAAAGGTAGTAACTGTAGAGCCACGCGCTATCTAACGAGAGTGGATCTGAATTCGCGATTCATGTGCTAATGCTTTAGCTTGACTTTAATTGCCTTATTTAAGGTGAACAAAAAACAAAACAAAACATAAATAAATAAATAAATAAAGCAAAACAAAAAAGCTTGACTGTTCATTACATTAATCATAAAAAAATGCTAGACTGTTCTTCTCCAAAACAAAAATGTCTTATTGTCACTTTCTCTTCATTTTATAGTGTTGTGCTCTTTTTCATATCTTTTTTCTTTGCTAATTTCTGCATTGATAAAAAATTCTTATGCTAATTATTATTATTATTATTTGAACTAAAAAAAAAGTTTAAAGAAATGTTAAATCAAGTATTTGTTTTTTAAGAAGTAATCGAGAATTTTTTTTTTTAAGTAAAATTTATAAAAAGGCTCTCAAAGAAAATCAAATAATCAATAATATTCAAAGATGGCTTTTCTCAAGCTAATGAAGGGTCCTCCAAAAAAGAGAAATTAAATGTGCGTTTGTAACTCATTCTAAAATGATTTGTTTTTTGTATGAAAATAGAAATTAAAATGTTTTCAATCTCAGACATAAATCATTTTTAAAAATGCGTTTGGTAGTTTTATCAAGAGATTGTTTTCAGTATAAAAAAAATTTATTAATGTCTCTCTCTGTGCTCGAGAGAGGAGAAAACGGAAACAAAAAATGAAAAATGACTAAAAGTTGTTTTTCATTTCTCTCCCATTTTACACTAAACCAAAAAATCGTTATCATTTCCGTTTTTTATCTTTAATTGTGTCAAACACCGTTTCTCTCCCGTTTTCATTTTTTTCTCAAAAAAAGTGAAAAATAAAAGCAAAACCAACTCCACACACGGCGTAAGTAATCTTTACAAGTGCAATCGCTATCATATTCTTTGTTATAGAAATATGGTAGCATTTGCTACCACCAACAAGATTTCATAGCCTATAAAATTATGGAGTATTAATATTTATAGTGAAATTGATCGAGTCATTTTTTATTATTATACGAAGAAGACCTCAATATTTTGCAGAAATGAATTGATCGAGTCATTCTTTTTTATTATTATATGAAGAAGACCTCAATATTTTGCAGAAATAAGACCTTCTCAAATTGCCATCAACTATCAGCATCAGAATAAGATTTTCCTACATTCTCTAATTTTTGCCATTGCGCTAAGGACCTCAACAAACATAATCCCATATTAACTCAATTAATATATAGATCAAAGAATTTTACAAGGTGTTATCACTTTCACATTAGAATTTTCCTATATTAACATCCTAAGTAATTAAAGTTCCTAATTAGGATTTGCATTCTGTATGTATTAATGGGTTTTTATAGTGTGTGGAAATATCTTAGCAAAGAAACTTAATATCCTTTCATATATTCAAAAGTGTTTAATGACTACTAAATATTTTTTCTTTCCAAACTCATTATAAACATTAAATATGACAAGCAGATAGAAATTGTCACATTCTCACCCAAAAAAAAATAAAAAAAAAATGCATCCACTCTTCAAATTTAATATATCCCCTTCATTTGTCACAGGTGACACCTACCTCTTTTTATATCTTTAATTCTAACCAGAAAATAAATTAATCCAAGACAAATAATTTATGAATCCTCCTAACTAGAGCGTGTTGTACACGCTCGGCAGATGCATGTGGAATTAAGATATCCTCCACAAATGGACATATCTTGTGGGTTTCTCTCTCTCTCTCTCTCTCTCTCTAGAAATTTTGAGGGAAATTGAGCTTTGCATATAGCATAGGATACCATGAAGGAGCTTTGAATATGGCTATCTACTAGAGATCTCTCACAAACTTATAAAAATAGAAGAAATTTTTATATATGAGAAGATTGCCAAGATTGGGTTTACCAAATATACCAACAACTCAATTATCATAATGAATCTTTCCACGTGAACTGTCTGATCTAAAACTCCTCCGTTTCATCTGCATGCTGCTTGGTTTTCACCGTTAATCATTAACCTTAGACATAAAGTGAAAACCCCAAGTCTTAATATTCCCTAATCCCTATGTAATTAAATATTCTCTCACAATTGTTTCGTGACAATTTTATATATATATATATATATATATATCCCGATTCCCCGTTCCAATTTTCCCACCCAATAAACTAAAAAACAAAAATGAAAATAAAATAAAACATACAAATCTTTCCTCTCGTGATCATGACTGATGAGAGCTAGAATATATAACCTTTTAGGCTTTCACCAATAGTTTCTTTACGAGTCTCAAAAATCACAAGAACAATTTTTTGTTTGTTTTTTTAAACTGGGGAAAATTTGAATTTCAGATCTCAAATTAAAATTGGAAGTGGGAATATTATTGGACAGTTAAAATGTAAAGTTGTGGCATTTTTTTTTTTAGGGAATTATGGTAAGTAATTTACTTACATAGTTTTTGTGTTTTAATTAATCAAATATGTATATTTCTATAGAATTAAATTTGTTTTTTAAGTTTTTCAAAATTGTTTATTTATGTATATGCATGATGTGTATAGTAAGGTGTATATATTCTATTAAAGTTATATTGTTGCATGTAATTAGGGGAAAATTACATCCTTAAGTGATGTTTCATGTAGTACTATCATTTTACTAATTAAATATCCATATAATTAATGTAAAATTAATATCAAAAGTGAAAGAATCTTAGGGACAGTAGTATGCAAGTTTCTTGTGTGGTATAAGCTTAAAATCAGCAGACAAACAACATTCCAGATCTTACCTCCTTAACCACCGCGCGCGCTTTATTCCTTGTGTCATGGAGGCTTAAGGATTAATTCAGGCTTCGTTTTTTTATCTTTATTTTTATTTATTTATTTATTTTTTACTTTTCTGTTTATATTCTCTCTACCTTTTTCAATGCACGTTACGAGAAGAAACCCAGATCCATAGGTAGGAAAAAATAAAAAAAAAAAAAAAAAAAAAAAAAAAAAAAAAGGAATCCATTCACAAGCGCCCTTAGAATAAGAAGTGTTTTCTTTTTCGTCCACGTAATTTGTCTGTTTGTTTATTACTTGTTGGGTTTCAGATTTTGTTTCTGAAAAAGAAACCAAGTCAACAAAGTGTGGAACAAAAGTGTGGAAGACCAATTTGCTAGCTTCATTCGTTTTTTGATTTAATATATGTTAAGCTTAATTATCTTATTTGTTTTTCTTTCTTTTCCA